AGATAATCTTCAGAAAGATTACATAAGAGAGTTAATATCACTAGCAGAATACTCAATACTGTTTGCACTAAAGAAAGACAGAACTCTACAACTATATATAGATTATAGACAGTTGAACAGCATTACAGTCAACAACTATTATCTAATACTACTAATTAAGAAAGTACAAGACAGATTAAGAGAAGTAATATAATTTACTCTAATTAATATTAAAAACATCTACCACCAGATATAAATCAAAAAAGATGATGAATGAAGAACAGATTCTGAAATAAAATATCTGAATGATATAATAATATATATTAAAGAAGACTAAAAGAATTATACTATAAAAATCAAGAAAGTACTAGAAAAGCTACAGAGATATAATCTACCAGTAAAACTAAAAAAGTGTGACTTCTATAAGAAAGAAATCAGATATCTCAGACACATTATGTTAACAGAAGAAATATGAATGAAGCCAGAAAAAATTAATAAGATACTACAGTAACTAATATCAAAAGAAGTCAGAAAAGTGCAGATATTTTATAGACTAGTAAACTACTATTAATAATTTATACATGAATTTTCAAAGAAAGTAAAACTACTTATAGAGCTATTCAAGAAGAATAAACTATTCAGATGAATAATAAAGTGTTAACAAGCATTTAAAGTAATAAAAGACAAATTCAGAAAAGAAGAAATAAGAAGACACTACAATCTAACAAGAAGATATGTAATTAATACAGATATATTAGATTGTGCAATAGCAGAAAGACTACAACAACTAGATAAACAAGAAAGACTGAGATTAATTATATGCTACACAAGAATAATAATATCAGTCAAACAGAACTACAATATTCACAATAAAGAACTACTAGCAATAGTAGTATTACTGAAAAAATGAAAGATCAAACTGCAAGAAAACTAATACTAAACAGAAATTATCTCAGGTTATAATAATCTGCAATACTTTATAATAATAAAAGAGCTTACAAGAAAACAAGCCAGATAGTATACAGATATACTAGTATACTACAACTTTAAGATAAGATACTTCAAAGACATGAAGAATGTCTGAATGAATACACTAAGTCAAAAATCAGATCTGATAAAAAAAGAACAAGATTCAAGAATACTTTTTAAAGAATTAGAAGAAACAAAGAATATGATTCTTAACTAATAGATACTGAGAGCAACAAGAATCATTACAGAAGAATCAGATATTAAAGAAAAAATTACAAAAGTAATGAGAAAAGATAAATATGTGAGAAAAATTGACAAAGAAAATGAAAACTTCAAGAAAGAAGATAAAATAATACTATATTACAGACTGATATACATATCTAAAGAGATTAAAAAACAAGTGATAATACAAGAATATGATACAGTCACTTCAGAATATTTTGAAACTGACAAGATAATAAAGAAGATTATAAGAACTTACTATTGGTCAGAAATGTGAACAGATATTCAACAACATGTTAAAGAATATAAGACATGTATACAAAGCAAAACCAACAAAAACTAATTATATGAAAAACTGCAATCAATACTGCAACTGCAAGAATTATAGAAATTTATAATAATAGACTTTATCACAAAACTCCCAAACTTAAAGAACATAAAAAAAAAGAAGTATAACTCAATACTAGTGATTACTGACAGATTAATAAAGTACAGATACTTTATATTATTCAGAGAGACAATAATAGCACCAGATACAGCAATAATAATACTATAAAATATACTTGCCAATCACAAAATGTCAGAAGAGATAATTACAGATTAAGATATCAGATTCACAAGCAAATTCTGAATGACATTAATAATACAACTGGAAATTGAACAAAAAATGTCAACAGTCTATCATTCACAAACAGATAAATAGACAGAATAATTAAATCAAATCTTGAAGTAATATTTATAAGAATATATTAACTATTAACAGAATAATTAGATTATGCTACTGTTTATAGCATAATTAGCTTACAACAGAGTAAAGAATACTATTACAGAAATAATATTATTCTACATAAACTACAGCAGAAAATCAGAAATACAGAAACAATCAAGAATTATACAACAAAAAGCTCAAGAAGCAGAACTTATAATAATACAACTATAAGAACTGCAAAACCAGATAAGACTAGATATTAAATTTCAGAACAAGAAAATAAAGTATTACTATGACAAAAGATATTAGAAAATATCAATCTTGAAAGAGAGAGAAAAAGTATTTTTAATTTGACAGAATATCAAAACCAAAAAATCTAGCAAAAAACTTGATTTTAAAAAATTGAAACTATACAAAATTATGAGATGAATCAGAAAAGTTAACTACAAACTCCAACTACTTAAAAAGATAAGAATATATTCAGTATTTCATGTCTTATTATTAGAGAAAGCACTGTTATACACTAAAGAGATGCCTACAAAGATTAATAAAGAACAGAAATACAGAGTTAAATAAATACTAAATTATCAGAAGATCAGCAGAAAACTTCACTACTTAGTAAAATAAAAAAAGTATAATATCTCAGAAAACATTTGAAAATTAACAGAAAATCTCAGAAACATTCAGATAATTATTATAATATATTATTAATAATACTCTCATTCAGCAAAGCATTAATAAATAAATCAGAGATAATCAGAAGAGAATCTGAGAAAGAAAGATTACTTAATAAAGCAAGCAGGCTCTGAATCTCTGTCTGTTCAATTACTCTTTTCAGCTTTTTCTTCTTAAGATGTTTCAAGTTCTCTACAGACTTTAACTCAGATTCAAGAAATTTACTAGTCTAATTATGAAGCAGCTTTTTCTGTTTTTAAAGATAAAGAAGATGAGAGAGAGTCTCTTGCTTAGTATACTTAAGCTTGTTCTGAGTTTCAAATAATTTCTGTTAATTAGCAGCAGAAGAATTATTATTATGAATATAATGATAATTAGCATGAATACACTTACTATATCAAGAAGAATAACTTGATTTTAAGCAAGTTTTACTTAATAAAGAGCATCAAGAACAAGAAGAAAGTATTATGAATTCAGATTACTCAATAGTAGAAAGAAGATTATTCTTGTAAATGTTAAAAGTAGATAATATAATAAAAGAAAATCATGAGAACACTTACTAAGAAGAAAGACAAGAGAAAATCAGAAACTCAAGAAAGAGAGAATACTCTTTTATACTCTAAAAAAGCAACAGATAGAGCAGTTAGAGACAACATACTGTAAAAGAAGAAGATAATATTATAAATTCTGCAGCATAATAATAGAGCACACAGAATAATTAAATAATATCTGACAAGATGAAATTACAGACTGTTACAGAAGAATCTTGAGGCAAGAATCACATAATTAGTAATAGAACTGATAAGCTAACTGATTACACCAAGTATAATAAAATTGATTGAAGAATATAGCAAATGAATTACAATAGAACAGATAGAATAGCTTAGCAGAACTATTATCAGAGAAGCATCATATATATAAGAATGCTTATTATCAGAAATCTGATGAACTTGTTCATCATAATTAATCTTCTTACTTATCTACTAGATATCTTTAAATCAGGAACTTTTATATCTTAATTACTTTTTATACTACTGAAGTTCTGTAATACTGTATAACTGTATCTGATTCTGCTACTCTTGAGAAGACTTTATAGTCTTGCTCTGACTCTGTTATATCTGTACAGAAACTCTTTGTCATCAGAGCAAGACTGCTAGCTTAATCAGAGCACTATTGAACTATTGATTACTACTCTAATCTGTTATTACTTACTGTAATACTCTTTGACTTCTAAAGATCTAAGAGTGTCACACAAATACATAACAACTAGCAAAACTCCTGTCAAGCACTCTTGTCACCAGCTCTCTGGTTGCACTCAATTTAACAAAAAGAACTTGAGCCTGTATTCAAGCTTTAAAGTGAATCTACAAGACAAGTTACAAATTGATGAATACATCATTGGAAATGAACAAGATCAAGCAGTCTACATGAACTCATGATTGAAGAAAGATGCAGTTAAGATAATGCTTTTTTAGATTAAAGACTATCATGATATAATAGATTATATACTCAAAGAATTCTTCAAGCAGATAAGACTAGTCTTCAGTAATCTTGTACACCAACAAAAAGTCTTGCAAAGCCTATACTTGATTAAGCAAGAATGAATCTCTTTTACAATCTTTTTATCTAAGTTCAACTGTCTTCTTCTCAAATCAGATGTACTGATGGATAACTAGTTAAGAAAGAGGTATCTGCAATCAGCTCTGAGTACTGAACTGATAAAAAGAGCTATGGGAATGCCTACAGCTGAGATCTACAAAGAATACTGCATGCAACTCTACCAGATTGACTATCAGATACAATAGCTAAATCAGATCAAATTCTGTATGTGCATGTGTTTCTTTATTCTCAGCTTCAGCACTAGACTTTATATTTCAAAAAAGTCTACTCTGCTCTCTGCTGGTGATTCTATGGATCTTTCTGCCAGTGCCAGGAGGCAGCTCTAGCAAGCTGAACTGGTAGACAACAAGAAGATAGAACTACAGCAGCAAAAAGAACTCTGCTTATATTATAATGGATCAGATCACATAATATGAGTCTGCTCTTACACTTTATCTCAACATCCACAACATCAAGCTCAACCATAATTTATAACCACTGCCTACATTACACTGAGACTGGAAAAAGAATATATAATAAAGAATGACAAGAAGAAGAGAAAAGAGTAGCTCCTGTTAAAAAGTACTGGCAGAAGCATTACAAGAAGCTTATACAAGAGAAGTGGAGGAAGTTTAAGAAGATGTCTACTACAAAACTCTTTGTCATGCATGTAATTATTAATAATACAAATGTTGCTAAGACTATAATAGATAATGAATATCAAGGTTACTCTCTTATCACTTTTCAAGCTATACAGAAGTATAAGCTTAAGTGTATACTCATCTTTAAACAAATACTAAAGAGATTCAATGCAAAGAACCACAAGACAATAAGATATGTGATGAAAATGAACCTGAATATTAGGGGGCACAAAACACAAGAAGCTTTTGCATATGAAGTCCTCCAGTTAGATAGATGTGATATAATACTAGAATGACTCTGGCTACAGTTCAAAATCGCCATGCTGGATAAAGAAGAAGATACTCTCTGATTCAAGCTCTCTGGCATCATACTGTTCACCAAACATCTAGAGCAAGCAGTTCAAGACATGGAAGTGTTGCAAATCTCAGCCAGTAGCTTAATGACTTGACACCAGAAACAGAAGACCAAACAAGCTCATGTTTTTACTGCTAGTTTGGCCAATATCAACAAGGCCCTCCATGAGAAGAATTATCCAAACCCTCAAGCAAAATTACCAAGGCACTACCACAAATCTCTAGATGTTTTCAGCATGAAGAACACCCACAAGCTACCTTTCTATTACAGATCCAAAATCAACTACCAGATCAAACTGATAGCAGAGAACAGAAAGAAATCTTAGCCACCATGGGGGCCACTATATAGTATGTCACAGAGGAAGCTCCTAGTTCTACAGAAAATACTAACAAATCTACTGAACAAGAAGTTCATCTGAGTCAGCAAGTCTAGTACAGCTGCACCAGTTCTCTTCACCAAGAAGTCTGATGGTAGTCTATATATTATGTATTAATGTGACACTCTTAGGTCTTTGGAGGTCAAGAGGTATTATAGTGAGTAATAACAGATTAGGGTAGTAATCAATAGTCTAATAGTGCTCTGATTAAGCTGGCAGTCTTGCTCTGATAATAAAGAGTTTCCATGCAGGTGTAACAGAGTCAGGGCAAGACTATAAGATTTTCTCAAGAGTAGCAGAATCAGGTACAATCATACAGTATTACAGAACTTCAGTAGTATGAAAAGTAATCAAGATATAAAAGTATCTGATTCAAAGATATCTAGTAGATAAGTAAGAAGATTGATCATGATAAACAAGTTTATCAGATCTTTAGTAATGAGCATTCTTATATACATAATGCTTCTCTGGTGATAGTTCTGCTAAGCTATTCTATTTATTTTATCATAATACATCTGCTATATTCTCTGATCAATTCTATTATACTTGGTGTAATCAGTTAGCTTATCAGTTCTATTACTAATTATGTGATTCTTGTCTCAAGATTCTTCTGCAATAGTCTGTAATTTCATCTTATCAGATATCATTTAATTATTCTGTATGCTCTATTATTATGCTGCAGAATTTATAATATCATCTTCTTCTTTTACAGTATGTTGTCCCCAACTACTCTATCTGTTAACTTTTTAGAGTATAAAAGAGTATTCTCTCTTTCTTGAGTTTCTGGTTTTCTCTTGTCTTTCTTCTTAGTAAGTGTTCTTATGATTTTCTTTTCTTTTATTATCTACTTCTAATATTTACAAGAATAATCTTCTTTCTACTATTGAGTAATCTGAATTCATAATACTTTCTTCTTGTTCTTGATGCTCTTTATTAAAACTTGCTTAAAATCAAGTTATTCTTCTTGATGTAGTAAGTATATTCATGCTAATTATTATTATATTCATAATAATAATTCTTCTGCTGCCAATTAACAGAAATTATTTGAAACTCAGAATAAGCTTAAGCATACTAAGCAAGAGACTCTCTCTCATCTTCTTTATCTTCAAAAACAGAAAAAGCTACTTTATAATTAGACTAGTAAATTTCTTGAATCTGAGTTAAAGTCTGTAGAGAACTTGAAATATCTTAAGAAGAAAAAGCTGAAAAGAGTAATTGAACAGACAGAGATTCAGAGCCTGCTTGCTTTATTAAGTAATCTTTCTTTCTCAGATTCTCTTCTGATTATCTCTGATTTATTTATTAATACTTTGCTGAATGAGAGTATTGTTAATAATATATTATAATAATTATCTGAATGTTTCTGAGATTTTCTGTTGATTTTCAAATGTTTTCTGAGATATTATACTTTTTTTATTTTACTAAGTAGTGAAGTTTTCTGCTGATCTTCTGATAATTCAGTATTTATTTAACTCTGTATTTCTGTTCTTTATTAATCTTTGTAGGCATCTCTTTAGTGTATAACAGTGCTTTCTCTAATAATAAGACATGAAATACTGAATATATTCTTATCTTTTTAAGTAGTTGGAGTTTGTAGTTGACTTTTCTGATTCATCTCATAATTTTGTATAGTTTCAATTTTTTAAAATCAAGTTTTTTGCTAGATTTTTTGGTTTTGATATTCTGTCAAATTAAAAATACTTTTTCTCTCTCTTTCAAGATTGATATTTTCTAATATCTTTTGTCATAGTAATGCTTTATTTTCTTGTTCTGAAATTTAATATCTAGTCTTATCTGGTTTTGCAGTTCTTATAGTTGTATTATTATAAGTTCTGCTTCTTGAGCTTTTTGTTGTATAATTCTTGATTGTTTCTGTATTTCTGATTTTCTGCTGTAGTTTATGTAGAATAATATTATTTCTGTAATAGTATTCTTTACTCTGTTGTAAGCTAATTATGCCATAAACAGTAGCATAATCTAATTATTCTGTTAATAGTTAATATATTCTTATAAATATTACTTCAAGATTTGATTTAATTATTCTGTCTATTTATCTGTTTGTGAATGATAGACTGTTGACATTTTTTGTTCAATTTCCAGTTGTATTATTAATGTCATTCAGAATTTGCTTGTGAATCTGATATCTTAATCTGTAATTATCTCTTCTGACATTTTGTGATTGGCAAGTATATTTTATAGTATTATTATTGCTGTATCTGGTGCTATTATTGTCTCTCTGAATAATATAAAGTATCTGTACTTTATTAATCTGTCAGTAATCACTAGTATTGAATTATACTTCTTTTTTTTTATGTTCTTTAAGTTTGGGAGTTTTGTGATAAAGTCTATTATTATAAATTTCTATAATTCTTGCAGTTGCAGTATTGATTGCAGTTTTTCATATAATTAGTTTTTGTTGGTTTTGCTTTGTATACATGTCTTATATTCTTTAACATATTGTTGAATATCTGTTCACATTTCTGACCAATAGTAAGTTCTTATAATCTTCTTTATTATCTTGTCAGTTTCAAAATATTCTGAAGTGACTGTATCATATTCTTGTATTATTACTTGTTTTTTAATCTCTTTAGATATGTATATCAGTCTATAATATAGTATTATTTTATCTTCTTTCTTGAAGTTTTCATTTTCTTTGTCAATTTTTCTCATATATTTATCTTTTCTTATTACTTTTGTAATTTTTTCTTTAATATCTGATTCTTCTGTAATGATTCTTGTTGCTCTCAGTATCTATTAGTTGAGAATCATATTCTTTGTTTCTTCTAATTCTTTAAAAAGTATTCTTGAATCTTGTTCTTTTTTTATCAGATCTGATTTTTAACTTAGTGTATTCATTCAGACATTCTTCATGTTTTTGAAGTATCTTATCTTAAAGTTGTAATATACTAGTACATCTGTATATTATCTGACTTGTTTTCTTGTAAGCTCTTTTATTATTATAAAGTATTGCAGATTGTTATAACCTGAGATAATTTCTGTTTAGTATTAGTTTTCTTGCAGTTTGATCTTTCATTTTTTCAGTAATACTACTATTGCTAGTAGTTCTTTATTGTGAATATTGTAGTTCTGTTTGACTAATATTATTATTCTTGTGTAGCATATAATTAATCTTAGTCTTTCTTGTTTATCTGGTTGTTGTAGTCTTTCTGCTATTGCACAATCTAATATATCTGTATTAATTACATATCTTCTTGTTAGATTGTAGTGTCTTCTTATTTCTTCTTTTCTGAATTTGTCTTTTATTACTTTAAATGCTTGTTAACACTTTATTATTCATCTGAATAGTTTATTCTTCTTGAATAACTCTATAAGTAGTTTTACTTTCTTTGAAAATTCATGTATAAATTATTAATAGTAGTTTACTAGTCTATAAAATATCTGCACTTTTCTGACTTCTTTTAATATTAGTTACTGTAGTATCTTATTAATTTTTCCTGGCTCCATTCATATTTCTTCTGTTAATATAATGTGTCTGAGATATCTGATTTCTTTCTTATAGAAGTCACACTTTTTTAGTTTTACTGGTAGATTATATCTCTGTAGCTTTTCTAGTACTTTCTTGATTTTTATAATATGATTCTTTTAGTCTTCTTTGATATATATTATTACATCATTCAGATATTTTATTTCAGAATCTGTTCTTCATTCATCATCTTTTTTGATTTGTATCTGGTGGTAGATGTTTTTAATATTAATTAGAGTAAATCATATTACTTCTCTTAATCTGTCTTGTACTTTCTTAATTAGTAGTATTAGATAATAGTTGTTGACTGTAATGCTGTTCAACTGTCTATAATTTATATATAGTTGTAGAGTTCTGTCTTTCTTTAGTGCAAACAGTATTGAGTATTCTGCTAGTGATATTAACTCTCTTATATAATCTTTCTGAAGATTATCTTTAATATATTTTTTCACTTCTGCTGATTCTTTTTCATTCAACCTGTATATTAGCAGTTTTGTTGGTTGTTTTTCTTCTTGTAGCTTTATTTTGTGGTTTCAGAATTTGTGCTTTGATAAGCTGTTGCTCTGATTTCTTTTTCTGAATATGTTAATATATTTTCAAAATTCTCTTAATAGAGTCTTTTTGATTTCTTTATTCTGGTTATTCTTTTGTACTTACAGCTGTGCTAAGTTGTTAGAATTCTTTATTGTTTAATTCACTTTTTCATCATGAGTCAGATTTCTATGATTTTCTGTAGTATTAATTAATTGTTCTTCATGCAGTATCTTCTGATTAATCTGACTTATTATAGCCAGTGTCTTGTCTAAGTTATTTCTGAATATGAGTCTCTAATTATAACTTTCTGGTTCAAGAGAGTATTTACAGTTTATCAGTCTAATCTTTTCTTCTCACCAGTTTATTTCTGAATTGTGCTGTTTCAATCAAGAGTATTTCAAGATTATATTATAGTTTTTTAGATTTATCACTTTAAAATACACTTTCTTGTGATGTTATTTTATTCTTATTTTAATAAAGTATATCTCTTCTTTAACTCTGTTCAGAGTTTCTTCTTCCAGTTCTGATAACTAATAGAAGTATTTTTTTATTTGCTTTATAATATTAGCTTGTTTAGTAAATCTTCTGTTAATAAATAGTTCAGTCACTTCTGAGTCCACTAAGATCATTGCACACTTTGATTCAAGTAAGATTACTGTAACTCTGAGATGACAGATTTGTTTATTAATGGCTAACAGTTTTGCTTGCCTATTCATACTACTTACAGACTCTTGTTCATAACAGTTCACTCATTTTCTGAATTAATAAGAGTTATCTTAAATATCTGTTTGTATATTGTGCAATTTTCTTTATTAATATATCAAATCTTGTGTATTCTTTACACATACATATTATCTCTACATTCTGTACAGGTTTTACATTCTTTTAAATCATGCAGAGATCTTGCCATTTTTCAAAATCTCTTATTTTT